CAGTGTATACAGTATAATGAAGAAAAATAAAAACAAAATGAGAGAAGGGGGGAAAAAATCTTCTCTTTAAAGCACAATAAATACATTCCAGTTCATCACACATGATGCACCCTATCACTTTTCACTTACTCAAGAAGATATGGAAATCTTCCAGCACTACAAAACACCAGAATGTTTAAACAGTTGTTGCACATAAAAAACATTTCCTAAAAAGAAAAACTCAGATTATTTGTAATATACTTGATATGTTCTTTCTGGACCTTGACTGTTTGCTGCAAGTTTTACAATCCTAACAGCAATCCTTAACAGCTGTAGATAGGCCTTGGAAAAATTATTTGAGAAGCACTAGGAAGCTGCTATTAATAGAACTGGACTGTATATACCAACAATAAGATTCATTGTTGTAAAGCACAAAATATACCAAATGTCTATAAAATAAAATGTTATGTTAATAGTGTTTTATAATAAATTGACACAATGACTATTTGATTTAAATTATTGACATTTTATCTACTTTGTTTTATTCACCAGCAGTAGGTCAATGTTGGCATCAGTGCTAAGCCCCGTATTTTACTTCAACCATGCCTTCATGCTGTGCATGAATTTTTTATTATCAACAAGATTTAGCAGAAAGGATGCCTTCTAACTAAAACATTAGGCACTATCACACCTGTTATATCCACAACTTATTCCTTCCTCTAGATTCCCATATTTTGCTAATCCCTGTTGATGGTCCAAGGGAAGCCAATGCCACACCCTTCATCTTCGTAAAAGAGGCATTAAGACATTCTGGGAACTGCTTACCGTTTTAATACCAGTTCCATGGATTCCTTCTCGTGGTGCATATCCTTGATGTATGAGGAAATACGGAAAACAAACTCTTCAAAGCTGGCTAGGAGTTCTGGCAGTTCTTTCTGGAGTCGAACCCAAAGTTCTTGAATTTCACCCTGACTGGAGTAAAGACAAGTGGTGATTCTAGGAAAACAGCTGTAATGACATTACCTTAAGTTCTACTCCTAGCTACACTTCCTTATGATAAGAACAAGCAGGCAACAAGGGGAAAGACATAAATCTTAAAATCTGAGCTTCTTCTGAACACAGGTCTGCATATTTCCCCCTTCAAAGTAATTTTGGTTGAATCTTATTATGTTACTAGCCCAAATTTTCTCATTTTCACTATTCTTCCTTTACTAACATTGTCATAGAACCATTTATTAGCCCTTCTTGGCCTATCAACAGAAAAGCATTTAGGAGTTACTATGAGAAGAGTTAGCAACATTCTCCCATGGGCATAAGTAATCCGTGGCCTTCCAGATTTACTACAGTTCTCAGCAGTTCCAGCCCATGTGACCATGTAATCTGTAATTCTACAGATTAAAGGCAATAAATATCGCTCAATAATTATATAGCAAAGAGACTGTCATATGAAATTCAAGGCAACCTTATTTGAAAGTAAAGCTGTTGAATGGAACAGCAATTATCATAATTATATTCTAATGGAGAAAAGACATATTGGAGAGTCCCATCTTACTGTTCAAAGACCTGGGATGCTTCAAGATGCTCCAGCACAGAGCAAAATTGTTTCTCCCCCTCATCTGTCTTGTCCAATTCCTCTGACCAGCTTGACTCAAATGTCTCCTCGTGTCTGGCGCTTTCAGAGTTCTGGTGCTGCTCAATTCCTATGAACTTGCCTATGAAAATAAGCATAAGAATACAAGATCACCTTACAGCCCACAGAAAAAAGCTTTGCTTTAGGCTTCCTTATGATCTGGGCTAGTTTGTGAAGAAAGAAAAGTACAATATTGATTGGAAGCCCACTGAACTGACTAACTTAGAGACAAAGTCCTATAAATCCCAGATTGTGGGCAATATTAGTACCTGAATGACTGAAAGGGGAAGTAAAATTAGAGACCCTTAATAAAATAGCAAATCCCTACCCCCATCTTAGCTTAGAAAGTAGCTTTCTAAATCACATTATCTAGGTGGATTGTCATAAAAAGAAAAGGATCGGCCATCCTTAGCTCACCCACATAATTCATGCAGTGAGTGTGGTTACTCTGTGGCAAGGAAAGGTAATTCAGTACATGACCTTCCTCCACCTGGTACTCGTAAGTATGTTGGATTATAAACCTTAGGATCCCCAGCCATCAAGCTCTTTGGCCTTGCCAGCTGCTAATTCTGGAAACTATAGTCAATCATACCTGGAGGGCAACTTCACATCCCTAAAGACATTCTTCACTATTCCATATTATGTTTGTTGTTTCCAGGACTAAGCTCTGGCAATCCAAACACAGACCATGACTATGTTGGGTTTTTAAAACTTTGACTTGTTGAATAACCCATAGTGGCCTGATTTGCTCATAATGCTAAGGCAAAAGCAAACAGATATTATGGTATAGTGTTATATGTGAACTAGTGCCAAAATATGGAAGTTGCTGCCAGGGAGAGTATATTACTTTTTTCCATTACTTCTCTCCCAAGTGCTTTGGATGTCTTGCTTGGATCAGAAGATAAAGCACAAGGCTGCCTCCCCCTGCTACCACCACCCAGTACTTTAATCAGTGTGATTTGCCTGACTGGCTTTCTCACTTGTGATAGGCTAACTATGGCGCTCCACTTATCATTTGCAAACACCTTGTGGTTTCAGGGTTTTTTTTAATTCATCAGTCTGATTCCTTGATAGAGAGTCAGCAATTAACTATTCTTGGCTTAGGCCAGTACTGGTACCATCCAATATTGTCATTCCTGCCTCTTAAACGTGTTGCCCAGGTCAAGTCCCTGAACTGTCTACTCTTAGAACACCAAGACATTTACAATTGGGACAAAACATACTATATCATGCCTATGTTCTAGTTCATCAAATAAGAATCTCTCATTGCCTTCCTACCCAGTTCCCCATATCTGATTGCTTTAGATCAGCCCTCTTCACGTCAGAGTCTTAGAACTGTTGACTTAAGTTGTTTTCTTAAGTAGAGGAACTTGGCTTCTAATCAGCACAAGGATATGTCAGTAGCCTCCCTCCTTTAGACCCAGCTTATATCCAATGGATCTTTTTGCAGTAGCTGCTCTGTGATGCCTGCATGGGGGCTTCATGCTTGCTGGGTATTTTAGCAGTAAATTGGAAGTGTTAGAAGACTTCTTAATAGGACAAAAGGGTGCCACAGGAAAGCCTCATCCCAACATGACTCACAGTAAGAGGAAGTACATTCCATACTCTGTTCTGCAAACATGAAATCTGGTGTGGCTTCAGATATTCACCACTCTGAGAAACATGTTTATGGAATAGATGTGGGGCAAAACAATTCCTGAAGGTACACTAACATTTGTAAGCAGTGTGTGTTTTATACCAAGCAGTAAAATAGCAAAGATCAATGTTTCACCAGCTTGGATCCACTCCTCGCCTATCCATTCCTACCTCTTTGCTTCAGAGTAGAGCAATTCTCTGTTCTCCATGTATCACTGCCTTGCCTGCCACCGTAGATTCAGTTCTCAGTACTAAGTATGGTTCCATTCTCAGCTCTCAGCTGTCTGCCAACTAAAATATGGATTTCCTGTGTACTGTTTGCTTACAACAGGAGCAGCCATCATTGTATCATATGTACTCATCAACTTCCAAACTCTCTCTCTTCTGCTCTTACCTAGGCCTACACTGAATTCTACTGGGGTGAGGTAACCATTATTATCTTGCTCCAGACTGTCAAAAACAGCTTCCAGCTGTTCAGTAGTGAATGGTAGTTCAGTTTGTAAGCGCTGTGGAAAAGAAGAGAAAGGAAGAACAAATTCAGGATTTTGGTCTATAATTAACAGAACAAATAGAAAACATTATTCTCAGCTCATTTTCCCAATTGCCTCCACTGAACTAAGCTTACCAAGTAATTGTATAAGGGCAGCTGATGGAATGGGAAGAAACCTTTCCTTGAATATGTGGATCTGACCGTTTGTACTCTTGAATTTTCTGCACTATCAGACTCATATAATGGATAGGATTTCTAGTTAAGCCAGATCTTAATAATCATAGTCTGTTCCTATAATTAGCATTTAGTAGGATAAACCAGGGGATGTAGTCCTGAATAACCTTACCGGTATGCAATTTATGGAAAATTGGCAGAAGTCATATAATAATCTACCCTGCCAGAGCAAAGATTGGGTACACTCTAAGTGTAAACTCTGCTCACTTTAGCTGCAATTCATATAGCCACCATTCAACTGGAATTTCTTCTGTGTGTTTAGCAGCAGTCTGATATGCACAAAGTATGCACATGAAGGGACCAGGATAAGCTTCTCTCAGCTGCATATCCCTCCAGTAGCCTTCACTTGCTCTATTTCTTCATGCACAGAAAGACACAGAAAGATTGCCACCGAAGCCAAAATTGTGTTTCTGCTATGACAGCAAGGCATCACAATGCCTATACTTCCTTTCAGATTTATGCGGAAGACTTCCTGGCTTTTGGGGTGACTTCCTTAGTAGATGCAGACGCATGTGTGAATTAGCCACCTCTATTATTTGGACCTACCCTTCAAGAATCTGTGTGAAGAATGTTGCTGTCCCTTGGTAAAATAGTATTGTTATTGGGTTTTAAATATGCTCAGATACTCTTCTAAAAAGATAACTGCAATAGATGATACTCAGGCTCTATGTTACTCCATAAACATGAATTATCCCTTGCTTTCCTCTAATCCTCAAAGTACTGTCAAGAACAAGTCTGAACTGCTATCCCGCTTCCTTCTCCCATTCCTTCAAAGCTCTCATAGAAGTTCACCTGCTGAGTTTTCCATAGCTTTATCCTTTGTGCCTAGCAAACAATGCAGGCAATCTTTGTGCAGAAGGGCAGACTCCCACAAGCACAATTTAGTTACTCTTTCAACTTGTGAATTATATTTTCAAAGTCTGCCAGTGAATACACTGATCATATTTATTCATCTGTTAATGAAACTACTTTAACTTGGTAGCAGGAAACCTTTTTTGAATCAATTGTGGGACATGACAAGTTGAGTTTTAGAAGATTAACTGAAACAGAATCTTTGTCCTTCCTTGAACAAACATACATTCAGGATTGCCTCCAAAGGGCAGGCTGTATGGTAATCTATTGCATATTTCATGACCAAATATGTGAAATACTGTCATGAATTACAAGTGTATACACACACACTTGGATGGGATGGGCAGAAAAATTAAATGCTGGATGTATAAGCTGTGACAGTCCTTTTATTAAAAATACTCATTCACAACTCTTGATAACACAAACATTCTGCCAACAGATAAGCTAATTAACATATAAATATCTGGTTGACATTTCAGATTAAGCCATAATATGGTCCATTTATTCTTTATTTTTAGTAGGAGCTCAGTATGACTCAGTTGTTATATGCAAAATGGTTCAAGATAGTTCAAGAAACTATGACTAAATAAATCTGGCTTAACATTGTGACTAGTCATGTGATTTTAAAGAGTTCTAATTCATTAATTGAATGTCCCAGTGTTTTGCAATTTGGCACTTTCAAGTTGTAGTGTCTCACTGAAACTCCTTTACTCAAAATTGGTTTGTGGCAAAGCATGTTGGGAGATAAAATGTACTCCTATTGGTTTTTCATATTGCCATCTCTTATGTGAGATGTGTGTCCATGTATTCTTATGTATACAGTGGGGCAAAAAAGTATTTAGTCAGCCACCAATTGTGCAAGTTCTCCCACTTAAAAAGATGAGAGAGGCCTGTAAGTTTCATCATAGGTATACCTCAACTATGAGAGACAAAATGGGGGAAAAAATCCAGAA